ATCCATGAACCATCATGGGGAACACCTGGGACAAATTAAACATGGGAAAGGAACACCTGGGGAGCAAGACACAGACAAAACATGGAACAGAGTCTGACAGTAATATTCTTACAAAAAAGAGTGACATTTATTTATGCCACAATACAGTACAAATCTGAACAACCATCTTAGTCAAGTGATATACACATTTTCATTCTGTGTACAGGCTGTTTGTAACATTATTTTTTATAACTGAATTACAGTGTTACTTATTTAGTTTTATACTATTTTGTGTACCATTTAAGATTTAATTCTTTTGATTGTAGCATTCTCATCTTTGATACACTCTTTTTAAATATCTTTGAATAAATCTTTTTGGCTGTTCTTGTTAGATATGATCAGGATATTCCTTTACTAATATTGTTGCACAGCAGTGATGCACCAGCATCCAGAGAATAACTATTAATCTTGCTCAAATCAGAGCTATTTTGAACCAGCAGAAGCAGGTCAATGCCATGAAAACATACAGTTTGAGATACTCGCATCCTCTACAGTTCCAATTAATTATCTTCAAACCCACTGAAAAATTGAAAAGTTTTGAAAATATAAAACTGCCGAGCATGCAGATTTAACATAAGGTTAGTATTGTGTTAAAGAGTGATATGTGATGTTGATGTGTGTTTTTTATTTTTTTACTCCATATATATACAGTATATTATGCTTTCATGGGTTTGGAACCTGATTCTGCAGTAGATGTTGTTGGATTACTACAATTAAAAATATTTTTTTGGACATACTACTCATGTTTCTTAGCTTTTTCTTTCCCAAAAAAGCCTTAAAGAAGACAATTATTTCTTCATTAACCTAGTGAAAAATGTATTTGAAATGCATTGATTGCGTTAAAGTGGAACTACTGCAAGTATACTTAAGGTACACTTTGAATATCTTGCATTTAAAGACCAATGCTATTCAAAAATCATACAGTCCTCATCCATAGTGACATTAAAACACATTTTAAGCTTAACATGGCTTGTGCATTTGTGCACAAGTAGTACTCCAAATTATTATTATATCAGCATATAAGCAGATATTATAATTTTATATCAGTAAGTCCTGAGCGATATGTCAGTAAATATGTTAAATTAGATTAGATTTGAACTATACTTAGTATGAAATATATGTATTTTAAATATATTACTTTTTTAGCACAAAAACTGACCTCAGATGAACTCTGATACTATTTGATTTGCTAGTTGATGTTGATTTCTTTTAAAGAAATATAGATATAGTCATAATAGTTTTTTAATTAGGGACAAATTATTTTGATTGACCTGTGACCTATTTGTTTGTACACTTGCTGACCCATGGGTACTGACTCATGTACCTAAAACACCCTGCATAATGGATCACACACAGTTTCAGATCACTGTTTTCATAATTAAAAATTAGTGTGGGAAAATGTATACACCAGATGGGTTGACTTCCCATGGCCATTAACCTTTAATTGGTATGGCTTCAATCCATCATAACACATTTCCTCATCAGATCTTGGCAGTTGTAATAATCCCTGCTGATTTAATTTCAGCCAGATATTGCTGATCTCAATCAATTCGATTCTGTCATATTGTAATCAACCAGCAGCACAGTCTATGTAATGTATTGAATGATTTGCATGTTTTTCAGATTGACAGTGTGCAAAGTCTGCTGCAGTGCCCGAGCATTTTGGTTTGTGTGGGACGTGAGCCTTGCCACCCACTCCTGTTGGACAGCTTCAGGAAGAACTCTTACGACAAACTTCCAAGACTGAACACAAAGCAACGCTCTAGTGTCTGCAGTGATGAAAAGGGGGCCAAGAAAAATGGTAGGTCACACTGCAAAAAGTATTTTTCATCTTACTTTACAGTAAAAATGAACTAAACATCCTCAAAACAACATAAATTTGCTTGAAGCTAAAATTTTAAACAGAAGAGAATAAATGTTCAGTTATGTTTAGTTTTTCTAACCCGTGTGGTAAAGTTTTATTTTATTTTATAAAAGTATTATTTATTTATTTGTTTTACATTTAAACTTATGCTTAAAACAAGAAAAAAGTATTTGCCGTTGGAATAAGAAAAATAAACTTAAAATTTATACCAAAACTTGATTTCTTATACAGCTTATTTTTTTAAAATAGAAAACAAGAAAAAATCTATAAAATTATATGATGATTTTGTATATTTATTGTAATAGTTATTTACTTTACTTTCTTACTTGTAGTCAACTTTGGACTTGAAACTAAAAGAAGCGTCATCCATCCAAGGTGTGATTCAAGCAACAGATCAGCAAGACTATCCATCTCATCTGAAAAGTTGTTTCCCAATGGACTTAACTCATTACCACCAGGGCACAGAGGTGCTTGTCCTCATCCAGGAGAAAATACGATGGATGATGACATTGAAAAGCGAGTTCTGGTCAACAAAGACGGAAGCCTGTCAATGGAGATGAAAGTGCGCTTTCGACTATTACACAACGAGACATTGCACTGGTCCACAGAAGTGAAGAAGGCAAAGAGCACTTTTAATGAATACCCTATTGTACCTGATGATGCTTGTTCCCTCTCGCATGGCAGTGCAGAGAGCTGCTCAGAAGCGGATTCTCTCTCTGCTGGCGATGGCGATCTAGCAGATGAGACATACAGCACCAAACGTTACCAGAGACACTTTGAGGAGCCACATTGCCAGCACTGTTGTGCTCACTGTCAGGAATATGATATCTGGAAGAATCTTGTACCTCCTGATCAAGGATCAGTAAGACGCATCAGATCTTCAAGCTCAAGTGCGTCCTCGCGGAGAATAGTGTGCAAAAAGGCATCTACTGACAGCATACGCACAATGTCCAGTGAGGAGTACACAGAGCATGTAGTGGAAAAGGCAACTTGCATTCAACGGACCTTTGGGCAGCAGGGTGACTCCACAGTTGAACAATGTACCATCAACCATTGCCACAGTCGAAGTGAAGTACACTCAATGTCCCCTAAAACAAAGAGCACAAGTGCTGTAGAAGACAAGCCTGAGAACACTCATGTATCTGAAAATGACGAGAACAGACCTGATGTCATATCCTCTAACCTACCTAAAGATCAGTTAAGTGTTCAGATTACTCAGCCAGTGGAGGAAGAGGAGAGGCCTGTATCTGTTGTGAGTTCTTCTTCTCAAATTTTAGCATCACTGAAGGAGGATCAAGATGATGAAGATGTTGACCTTTCTCTGAGCACCTCGAGAATATCCCATGGCCAACAGGAAGATAAGGAGAGCAAAGATGCAGAACCAACCCCATGTTCTACTACACCCTGTAAATCTCCTGCATCTCCTGCACATTTGTCACCAAGACCACCAAGCAAAGCTTCATCTTTAGGACGGTCTAAAAGATCCAGAAAGTTGGTCAGTCCAGAAGTAGATGATGAAGAGGGCAGGTCTGAAGCATCTGCTTCACCCAAAGCATCATCTGGATTTAAAAATTTGGTCACCATGGACTTAGCATCTCCAGGGGATTCTGAATCAATTGATCAACTAGAAGACATTCAACACAAAACTGATGTGCAAGATGAAGAAAAAGAAGAAAGGGCACTAAGCGTGCTGTCAGCCAAATCAAAAACTTCTGTGAAGTCACTGTCTGAGTTATCAGCCTCTTGTGAGAATGAAAATGCCGCTGAGTATACTGGAGCAAACAGTGAAATAATAGAGGAGCGATCCTCGAGTGCTATCTCCATAAAATCCAATATCTCTGGAAAATCAAATAGAACAAATGTTTCAGAGGTACTTGAAAAGGATGGAAGAGCACCCAGTGCCATGTCAGTAAAATCTCAGAGATCTGACAAATCAAGAAAAACCGACATCTCAGACAATGTGTCTGAGGGACAAATCTCTGAAGTAAGAACATCAAGTGCTATGTCTGTTAAATCAAATATGTCCGTAAGGTCAAACGTATCAGATGTTGGCTTTGTTGAGGCTTTACAAGACAATGTTGAGGAGAGGGCCGTAAGTGCTGTGTCATCTAAATCGAATATTTCCGCTACATCTAGTCAGTCTAAAGAGCCACAGTCTGATGGGCCATTAGATGAAAGAATAGAAGAAAAAGCTTCAAGTGTTAAATCTGGAACATCAAACAAGTCTGGAATCAAAGCGGTGACAAATGATGATCAAACAGTGGAGAGGGCTCCCAGCTCCATTTTGATAAAATCAAATATTTCTGCAAGATCAAAAATGTCAATTGAGCTGAGCGAGCTTGAAGATCAAGACAGAGCCCCCAGCAGCATTTCTGTAAAATCAAATGTCTCACGTAAATCAAAGTCTGACATGTCAGAAGCAGCATCTTTCCAAGGAGATGAATCTTTAAATTCAGTGAAATTAAACACACCTGAAGCTGAAGCAGCTCCTCAAGCAGAGCTACCAGGGGAGAGATCGCCAAGCTCTGTGTCATCAAAATCAAATATCTCTACAAGATCCAGAACATCCAAAAATGTTGAGGTAGACCAAGACGAAGCACAGGAAAAAGAAGATGTTCAGGAAAGAGCATCAAGTGCTATTTCAGTAAAGTCTACTACATCTGCAAGATCAAGGAAATCTGAAACAACACCAAAATCAGGAGAAGAAATGAAGGAACGAGCTCCTAGTGTTATGTCAGTCAAATCAAATGCTTCTTTAAAATCAAATAAGTCTAAGATGGAGGAGGAGGAAATAGAAAACAGAGCCTCCAGTGTTTTGTCTGTTAAATCTGAAGAGAAATCGAATCAGTCAGACATAGAGCAAATGGAGAAAAGACCATCGAGTGCAATATCAGCTAAATCAAATGTTTCTGTAAGATCTAAAGGATCCAAAATGTCAGAGGTGGCAGGAGATGATGATCGATTATCTGCAGCAGCATTACATACCTCTGAAACATCAAATGAATGCAGCACAGCACCTGAAGAAGCCTGCAAAGGCACAGAGAAGTCACCAGACAAAGAGAAAAGAGCACGAAGTGCATTGTCAACAAAATCCAGTAACTCTGCTAAATCCAAGAAATCCAAAATATCTGATATGGCTGATGATATTGTAGCTGGAGATAGAGATGATTTGAGATCTGCAAGTGCAATGTCCTCTAAATCGAATGTATCTGTGAAATCAGCGGTCTCAGAATTGGTCACAGAAGAGCCTTTAGAAGCACAGGACCAAACAGAAGAACGGGCTCAGAGTGCATTATCAGCACAATCCAATCAGTCAGGAGTGACTGTAAGTGAGGGAGTTGAAGTTGGAGAGGAACGGGCACTGAGTGCCATGTCATCTAAATCCAATGCTTCTGAAAGACCAAAAAAATCCAATAGTTTAAAAGTGCCAACTGCTTTGCCTCAAGCAGCAGAACACCAAACAGTGGAACGAGCTCAGAGTGCATTGTCAGCTAGATCAAGAGTTTCAACAAGATCCAATAAGTCCAAAATTTCAGATGTTTTAGCTGATGAGCTTGTTGATGTGAAAGACCAAGAAGAAGAGAGAGCTTCAAGTGCTTTGTCTGCAAAATCCAGCATTTCCGCAAAGTCGAAGTCAAATGCTTCTGCAACAGACGTCAAAGCTGATGACAAAGAAAAAGGAGACAGAGTACCAAGTGCTATGTCAGGAAGATCTGATATTTCTACCAAAACCAGTATCTCTGCAAAATCCAAAGCATCAAAAGTTTCAGAAGTACCATCAGAAGAGCCTGATGATGAAGAAAGTGAAGTAAAAGCACCAAGCATTACTAAATCCAGCATTCCAGTAAGATCCAATAAGTCAAAGCATTCAGAAATGGGTGCTGAAGAAGAGGTTCAGAACATAGAGAGACCTCCAAGTGCAATTTCAGTAATATCTGATGCCACACATGATGAAAATGAAATGACAAATGATGGTGAAATCCAAGAAAGGGCTCCAAGTGCTGCATCTGCAAAATCACGTTCCTCTGTAAGATCCGGAACATCAAAAGTTTCTGAAATAATCAGAGATGAGCCAGATAAAGAAAAAGTAGAGAGGGCACCAAGTTCTAGGTCATTGAAATCTGATGCCTCTGGAAGATCTGGTCCAAATTACCCTGTCAATGAAGAAAAGGAAGCAAGAACAGAAAGCACTTTGTCCTCAATTTCTGTAAGATCAAAGAAGTCAGAAGATTCTGAGATAATCAGCAATGTAGAACGGAGAGCATCGAGTACAGCATCAGTTACATCTGAAACATCTGCAAGATCTAAAAGGTCAAATATTTCTGTAGTTGCTCCTAAAGAAATTGGAAACACAGATACTGTAGATGTCCGAGCATCAAGTGCAATGTCTGCAAAATCTTGTGCATCTGAGAAATCAAAATGTTCAGAAAGAACAACTGAGGAGGATGAAGAAGCAAGTAAAGTGGTAGACAGAACAACCAGCTCTTTGTCTGTGAAGTCAAATCCATCCATAACATCGGATGCCACTGTTAAATCAAGAGTTGTGCCTACTAAATCAAATGCTTCTGCAAAATCCCTCCTCTCAGAAGCTGAAGAACCTGACAGAAGATCAACAAGTGTGGCCTCTAATGCATCTGCAGAAACTAAAATGTCTAAAGCAGGTGTGAACACAAAAGCAAACCGTTCACCAAGCAAATTGTCAGTTAAATCAAATGTATCTACAAGATCCAAGAAGTCTAAAGTTTCTGAGGGTGAGGACCAAACACACACAAACACTGAAGATACAGGATTATACCGAGATGAGAGTCCGTTGTCCGATCACTCAAAAGTATCTCAAACAGAGAACTCAAATGAATGTATTTGTGGTGCAATAAACAAACCATCAAGTCCAGTGGCATCTTCTGAAAAAAACTTCGACCATGAAGAGATACCTGCAAGTCCTCTGTCTAAAAAGTCAGCAAAGTCCAAAGTCAGTTCAGTTGGTTCTGCCTCTGAAAGAGTTTTAACACCAACAAGCACCTCAGTTTCTATTGAGATTGTTGAAGACCATGAGGCTGATGATGTCGAGGAAATAGATGGAGGTGCTGTTTCGATTAACTCAAGAATGTCTGCTTCTTCAAAGACTGAACTATGTGGTAAATCTGACCAGTGTTTATCAGAATCTCCAGTAGAAATCACAAATGAAGCAACACTGACACCAGAGGAAAGACCTAAAAGTTCTGCATCAGCTAAGTCAAATGTCTCAGGTAAATCGAAGTCCAAAAGCTCTCATTGCGGCTCTACATGTCCTACAGACACAATTCAGGACAGAGATGATGTAGCAAGTAATAAATCCTCCAAAATAAAGTATTTAATGACATTATCTGTAAGCCAACCATCAGCCAACAGTTCAGTGAGGCGGAGCTCTCAAACCCAGGGGAATTGTCCATCTAGCAAAGCTTCTGATATGTCTGTACACACTGAAATCACAGGTCAAGAGAAAGCTGAAAGTCCAGATGTTACCCATAAATCTCAAAGTGTCTGTTCAAAATGCAGTTCTACACAACAGAAAGGAAAAATTTCACGTGCTTCAAGTGCCTCAGCAATCTCAGACTCTGAGAAATCCAAAACGAAAGAAGGAAATACTGCAGAAATGACTGACAGACCAAAGAGTAATATATCCAGTTCATCTCGTTTGAAAGTAAATGGTCAAAAGAATGATGTCGAAGCTACAGTTGTTAATGAAAAAAGCAATAAATTAAACACCAAGTCAACACAGAAAGTTGAAGACAATGCACCGAAGTGTCATTCAGCGACTTCTGTTACCTCAGGAAACCAGCTAAGTCCTAAAAAACCTAAAAAATCCAAAAAACCTGTTATTCTACTTGGAAGCTCTAATGATAGCATGTTATCGCAGACTGTCCCTGCTCCAGAACCAAAAGAAGAATATATTGACCATTTGAATGCAGCAGCAAAAAAACCTCAGTCTTGTAGATCTGATACAGTGAAAATTAAGTGTCAGTGAAATTAAAAGTGAAAAAAGTAGCAAATGTAGAAAAAGAATTGGAAGTGGCTCTTCTTGCCACAAGATGGATGATGACATGTCTGAGCTGAGTCCTTCTTGCTTGCCAAATGCTTCTCCAACTGAGGTGGTGAATGAATGGCTGAGGAAAATCCCATCAGACACCACCTTGTGTGATTTCGGCGACGAATTCCATGACAGTTATGATTCGATAGAGCCACTTTGCACATCACATGTGCCATCAGGAGATGATAATCAGCATGGAAGTTTGCGGCCAAGTAATGTTACCAAGATTGAAACACAAAATGAAATGGAAGATGCTCATGTGGTGAATACAGAAGGGGCTACTGACAAAAAATCTCCTGAAGTTGCTGAGGGTGATCACTCTCAGAGAGGGGATGAACCAAAGATGTTTGATTCTTCGGTTCTGGTGATGAAAGTCTTGTTGAGCCCCAAACTCGACCGATGCAATAGCCTACCAGAGGTATCTTCTGTATATGGACTTAAGCTCAGTGCATCAGCGCAAGGTCTTCTGGATTGTTTGGCAAATCTTCAGTTGTTAGACTTTGGTCCTAGTGATGAAGACGGTAAAAAGGAAAAATACCAGGAGCTCATGAGCATGCTCAAGTCTCTTTGGCTTTGTGACCCAAAAGACAGTGAGAAGACATCTGGGGAAAGAAACAAGCATCTGGATGAGGAATTCAAAGCCAGGTCATCCTCAGGGGTAGATGTTAACAGTGGCTCAACAGGTTCAGGGAAAAGTAGTGTCAATGATGGCACCCAAGCACAAATCAACACAGAATGTGAAGTCCTGGAAACCCTGACAAAGGTACAGGAAGTTGATGAAACAGTAGAAGGGGAAGCTTCAGAAACGCCAGGATCAAAAGATGATTCAGCCACTCCAGATATAGCAAATCAAGCTCAGTTAACCCCAGAGACAAAGGACACAGATGAAGGAAAGCTAAAAGATGATGTCCCAGGCTCTGAAGAGACAATCAGGAGTGATGATAGTCCAAGGGAATTCATTGAAACACCTCTTTCCTCAAACAAGAGTTCTGGGAATAATCCCAAAAAAGAGGAAACTGAATCAGACCGCCAAGAGGACACAGGTTCAGGCAGTGCTCCAAAACAACAAAGAGGTCATTTATCGAAAAGGCTGTCTCAAGACCCAGATCCTGTATGGGTTCTGAATTTATTGAACAAATTAGAAAAGCAATTTATGACACATTATGTTAACGCAATGGTTGAGTTCAAAGTCCGTTGGAATCTGGATGACAACGAGCAACTTGATACCATGATATGCGAATTGCAAGATGAAGTCCGCAGACGGATACAATCGAGTGTAGACAGGGAGCTAAGGAAAATCCAAGGCAGAGCTGGAAGACCAAGACCACCAAAAGACACAATGTCACGTGAATCTACCATTCAAACAGAGCAAAGGCGAAGACGTCTGAAAGTGATGCGCAACCAATCAGTTGATCCACAACCTGCTAAAAGTGACGATGATTATACAATGACAGGGACCGATTTCAGCGATCAACGTAGCGATGATGAATATTGTCCTTGTGACACATGCTTGAAAAAGAAAATGGCATCCAAGCATGTGTTACCTGTGGAAATGCTTAATTCTGCCGCTGTGATGATGGACTTTGATTTAAGAAGAATTCTCCAGATGAAGAAATCGGCTCCAAACAATGAAAAGATTGAGGAGACTGCCAATGTACAAGCAAGTGAGATGGAAGGAGAAAATGCAGGGCTTGAGGCTGTCAAAGAGGAGGATGAGAAAGAGGGGGCAGATAAAGAAATTCTTGCTTCCAGTGCTCAAGAAATTGAAGATGAAAAACAAGAATGTGAGGAGAATGAAGAAGAAGACAGTGCCTCTTGCTCTTATGTAGAAGATAGTTCAGAGAAACAATCAAATACACCCAGACATTTAAAGAGAGATGTGGATGAAATTGCTGAGATGTCTGTTAACACAATGACTGTGCAACAAGATGAAGAGCAAGAAGAGACTGAAACTGATTCTGATTTAATGGCTGTCAAAGAAAGTGCAAGCAGTTGTAAAATTAATGAATTAGATGAAGACGTGGCAAATGATGACATTAGTGAATTTGATGACATAATGCAAACTGAAGCAGCAAAGGAGGAAGCATCTGAAGAACACACTGAGGACGAATCAGAACAGCAGGACAAGACAGCTGATGATGAAACTGCTGAAGAAGGGCAAAACGCAGGAACAGAATCTGTTGAAGAGGGTGAGGCCACTGCTGAAGCAGTAGCTGCTGGAGAGAATGGCATAGTTGGTTGTGACACTGCAGAAGAAGGTGAGACAGCTGAGGGTGAGACAGCAGAAGATGGACAAATGGCTGAATACAAAACTTCAAGAGATGGTGAGGCAGCAGAAGATGAAACTGCAGAAGATGGACAAACTGCAGAAGCAGAAAGCACTTTAGAAAATGGACAAACTTCTGAAGATGTAACTGGAGACGAATGTGAGACCATTAATGACGAGATTGGAGAAGGGCATGAGACATCTGAAAATGAAACTACAGAAGATGGACAAACTGCTGAAGATGAAACTGGAGAAGAAGGTGAGACAGTTAATAAAGACACTGCAGAAGAGCATGAGACAGCTGAAAGTGAAACTGCAGAAGATGGACAAACTGCTGAAGATGAAACTGGAGAAGAAGGTGAGACAGTTAATAAAGACACTGCAGAAGAGCATGAGACAGCTGAAAGTGAAACTGCAGAAGATGGACAAACTGCTGAAGATGAAACTGGAGAAGAAGGTGAGACAGTTAATGAAGACGCTGCAGAAATGCATGAGAGAGTTGAAAATGAAACTGTAGAAGAATGCCAAACCGAAGATGAAACTGGAGAAGAAGTTGAGACAATAAACAATGACACTACAGAAGAGCATGAGACAGCTGAAAATGGAGAAACTGATGAAGATAAAACTGCAGAAGAAGGTGAGACAACTGAAGATAAAACTTCAGAAGATGGACAAAATGCTGAAGCAGAAACTGTTGGAGAGGATGAAATAACTGAAGATGAAACTGCAGGGGAGGGTGAGGCATCAACTAAAAATGAATCTATAGACGAAGGAGAGACTGCTGAAGCTGAAACTGAGAGCAATATAGGTGATGATGAAACTGCAGAAAAGAATGAGACAGCTGATAACAACACTGTAGAAGAGCATGAGACAGCTGAGAATAAATCTGTAGAAGACGGGCAAGCTGAAACTGCAAGAGAGAGCGATTCAGGTGAGGAGGACACCGCAAAAGAGAGTGAGACAGCTGAGAATGAAATGGCAGAAAATGGCCAAACTGCTGAAGCAAGAGAGGGTGAGACAGATGGTGATGAACCAGCAGAAGATGAGCAGAATACAGAAGCTGATGCAGGCGAGGGAGATACAGCTGATAATGAAGCTGTAGATGACGAGCAAACTGCTGAAGAGAGTGAGACAGCTGAAGATGAAACAGAAGCAGAGAGAGATACTGCGGAGGGGACATCGGTTGAAGAAAGAGGAACTGATGTACAAAGAGCCAATGAAGATGAAGACAACACAGATGATGCAGGAACTGCAGGAGGTGTGTCAGCTGAGGAAAAAGAGACTTCTGAAGTAGAAACAGCAGATGAGAGGACCACTGAAACTGAAACTGAGATGTCTGAAGAGAAAGCTTCTGTTGAAGATAGCAACATGGCTGAAGACAAGAATGCTGTGGTAGAGTTGGCAGAGCAAACTCCTGATCATGAGACGACTGGAGAAGAGACAGACAAGAGTCAGTCAAACGATGAGGAAGACAAGGAAACTGAAAAAGCAGAGGAGGATGTTCTTTCTCACATTGAGGACACTAAGAGTCATGATGTCTTGACTAATCGTGCGCTAATTGAAGATGAAACACCCCCTAAGAACAATGGTGACATTGTTCTAGATAGTGTTGATGATAAAGGTGAAGAAAGTGATAAAGAAGATGATAATGTGGAGGTAATGGCAAACAAAGCTGGTTATGTGGCCAACACTGGTGAATCAGCTGAAGCTGGTGATGAAGCTGAGGATGACACAGAGCCAGATGTGGAGACAGATGAAGGGGAGCATAATAGGAACGCTCTACCTTTACAGCCTCTGTTACAGCCAAAACCAAAAGATGACAAACCAGATGGAGCAACTTCATTTAATGTTTTGGTAAAGCACAATTCAGAGTTCGAAGATGGTGCCGATGCTGATGTAGAAGACTCAGAAACAGAAGAACACAACCAAGTCATAGATTTGAGTTCTGAGTCAGAGAGCAAGTCACAGAGGAAAACTGCACATAAAACCTTCAAGATGCTCATTCACACTCTGAATTTCCTCAAACTCTCAGCCGCTGGACTACCAAAGAGCAGGGAAGAGGATAATGAACATGAGGTTGAAGATGAAGAGACTCCAGAAGACGGCAGTGATGATGCAGAAGAGAGTTCCTGTGTGGAGAAAGATGAGGTGGAAGAGAATGGAAAGGAGAAGGGCAAACTCTCAGATATTACAGAGGACACAGCAAAATCTGAGGAGGACCAGACAAATGAGACTAGTGATGATTCAGAGGACCATGAATGGGAATCATCTGAAAATTCCTTGCAAAAGCAGATAACAAAGTCATCCCTGGAATCTCAGCCAGGTTCCTTTGAGGAAGTTCAAGAGGAACAGGCAAAAAATCAGAAAGGTTTAAATCATCTGAAAGCCAACTGGTAGAATCCTTCTTCAGCATAAAAGAAAAGAACCAAAGATGCTCTTTAGCATGTAAAAATGGTTCCAGAGGGGTTATTTCTCTATTATCCTTAGACCTTATAATAATTATCATAAGTTAGCCCTTTGGATTCCTTATTTTATTTATCAAAGAGTAACATATAATGCACTTTACTTATTATTCACTTGTGATTCCATTATATATGCAGATTATATATGCAAAAGCACAGCATTACTACTCAGGTACTGTAAAAAGGGAACTGCTGAAACTTGAACAGCACATAAAGCTTTTCTAACTTGATGGAAGGAAAATTGTTTAGAATTTTAGTATATTTATGTCAGAACAACATATTTAATTGCAGTTATTTACAGTATATAATTCACCCAGTTGTAAGCCTTAGCCATTGGAGGGACTGTTGACAAGGGTTAATTATGCATCATAGTTACTGTATCATACTGTATATGTATGTACTGCTATACAAATGTTCCACAGTGTAAATGAAAAATCACACATCAGAGTGACATGTAATGGAAATCAGGGGCATAAACTGTGGTTATGAGTGCACAAGAATGAATGTATATTGAACATATTTGAATCTGAATGTTTGTTTCATTGTAACAATATGAATGATCTAATTTACTCGTAGGTTGCTTGTGAGAAAGCATACCTTTAAAAAACAGAAACTTTTTTTTATCCCTGCTAAAACATGAGATGTCCATTCCATCTGACTTAGTCAGAATATGTACACTAATGCTTACTTTTAAAGTAAGTGCACTGAATGCAGATGTATATGATTGACATCACCAGAAATCACCAATATACAGCATATTGTGTATTATAAGGATTAAGGTACACACATCAAGACATGCCTTAGATGTTTTGCCACATAAAGGACTGTACATCTAATGGACTATGTTGTCTGTTTTGTTCACACAAAACTCTAATGTGAAGTGATGCAGATGCAAATGCGGTTCCTTCATTGCAGTTTCTTTTCTGCTGGCCAAACGCTTAATGGTTAACTGAAATACAATATATTCCTTGTTACTTGAATGTACTAATTTCCTGCCTGAAATAAATACTGTATATTCAAGCTTAAATTGTTTTTATTTATTTATTGTTAGTTGTCAAGCAAAAAGGTTGAGTTAAAAAAAAAAAAAAGAACATTTTCCAGTTTTAAAAGAAGGCCCACATCTCTAGGATGTACTGTACATGTCTACATATAGAATCCTTCCAGAGGGATGTTGCATAATTGAATTATGGGGTCATTGTTATTTAAGTTTGTCACTAGCAAGCATTAGCACTATAATAATGACTCCCTGTAGATACTTTTGGCCTGAGCTGATGGTGAAATAGACTTTCATTACTCTCTAATCTCTCTATAACTATTTTCACTTGTTTTCCAGTGAAATGCATATTCTGTGACAGACACCTGCCACTCTATTACTCTTCACTAAATCAACTGTCTAGTGTCTACTTCCATTACAAAAGCCCTGTTGCTTTGGTCACGGTGCCTTTCAGAAGTTTTCAATAAGAGGGAAATTATTTCCAGGGAGCTGACTTTGTCTCTGAACCTTCAATAGATCATACCATGACATTCATGACACAATAAAAAATACCCCCTGAAAATATTGAAGGTGAAAATCAGCAAACTATTAATAACCTGACCCACCTCATCCATCAACCACCTAGTTAAGAGTCAATTCCCAGCCAGTGAGACATCTGAAACAACCTGCATTTTGTTTTTGCTCTCCAACTTTGCTGTTTTTAACAGGCCGGCCGGTTTGCTGAACAGGGGCAGAGCCCAAGGATCCCACGACAAGTCCAATTACTCAAGTTAACGCCCCCCAAAACAGCATCACCTGTCCAGTCCATTAGTCTAATATAGATATTTGTAGACTAAATTGTGTGTATATTCAGGGACTTTTAATTACTGTCTCTTTCTGACAGGTAAGTGTGTTGCTGGTTATTTGAAACTGTCCTAAGAGACTTCATTCCCTGCCTTTGCTTGCTGGAGTCATAGGTATATACAGCCCCATTGGACGAGTCTGATGGATGGTCCTCTCTTGTTGAGTTTCCATCCTCTGCTTCCGGAGGGAACGTGACATAAATAATTGGTGTCACTCCCATCGACCGAGTGCCACACTCGAAGGCGGGGCTGAAGCCGCTGACAAAACACAGCTGTCTAATCTCACAAGTTCTCAGCATATCCTAGAGTGCCTTCCATCTCCTTACAGAGAGACGATGAGACCATTTGCATTTTAGCATCATGTAAAACAAGACTAGAGGAAGAACATAAATAATTGCCAGTATGCAGGTAATACAGAACTTAGGTTATTGCTTTAACTTTTAACTTTATTTGTAATAGTACTTAAAAGATTTGATAGCTTTATACTCAAATGTTGCAACAGAAATTGCTTAATTGATTTTAGTCTTATAAGGGTCAAGGACAGAACACATTAAATTAATTTAGTCAAAAATACAATATTTTTTTGCATAAAGGGTGCAATAACCCTTGTCTTGTATGGAAGCCTGTTTCCACCATGGAATAAAAAATCAAATTAAAATTCCAAATTGAACAATTCCAAGTTTAGGTTTCAGAATTCGAATTTTTTTTCCTCACAATTCTGAGTATGTATTCTTAGTATATCTCACAGTTCTGGGCTTATATCTCACAATTCTGCCTTTTTTCTGTCAGAATTGCAAGAAAAAAGAAGGAAAGAAATTGCAATTACATTTATTTTTATTATATTTTATTTTTAATATCATAATGCCGAATAAAAAAGCCTATAGGATGTTATTTCCTAATTAAATTAATGTACTTATTCTAAAAACTTTTGTCCACCAAATCAGTCAAATCATGTAGTGCAACCAACATGCAGGAGGAAAAACATTAAACAAGAAATTATATCATTTGATCTTTGACAAGAGCTTCAGGTTGTAAATTCAAGGTGTAAATTCTTTTTTACATTTTGTTGAAAATGGTAAACATTTTTCAAAACCATATGAAACCAACACATAGAAGCACATTTGTGACCCTGGACCACAAAAGCAGTCTTAAGTCGCTGGGGTATATTTGTAGCAATAGCCAAAAATACATTGTATGGGTCAAAATTATTGATTTTTCTTTCATGCCAAAAATCATTAGGATATTAAGTAAAGATCGTGTTCCATGAAGATATTTTGTAAATTTCCTACTGTAAATATATTAAAACTTAATTTTTGATTAGTAATATGCATGGCTAAGAACTTAATTTCAATGACTTTAAAGGCGATTTTCTCAATATTTAGATTTTTTTGCACCCTCAGATTCCAGATTTTCAAATAGTTATATCTCAGCCAAATATTGTCCTATCCTAACAAACCATACATCAACGGAAAGCTTATTTATTCAGCTTTGATGTATACATCTCAATTTCTGAAAAATTGACACTTAAGACTGGTTTTGTGGTCCAGGGTCACATTTGTGAACTAAATACTATTTTATCTTAAACTTCAATCAGTAATTCAGTATAGTTTTAAATACATAGTAGTTTAGCCTATACAGTGGTGTGAAAAAACTACATGTTGTGTTCACTTGTGTTATCTTTGACTAATATTTAAATTTGTTTGATGATCTGAAACATTAAAGTGTGACAAACATGACCTTCATTTAAAAACTGCATGTTGTGTTTACTTGTGTTATCTTTGACTAATATTTAAATTTGTTTGATGATCTGAAACATTAAAGTGTGACAAACATGCAAAAAAAATAAGAAATCAGGAAGGGGGCCAACACTTTTTCACACCACTGTATGTGAAGAATATGATAACTATTAAATGCATCATAATCAAAGTGAAGAAAGTGATGACAAATGAAGAACATGGAGTTACTTTGAGATTAGAAATCTTCATTTTTTTAAGATTCAAAACACATTTAGCTGCCCGCTGCCTATGTGACAGATCAGATCATTAAACACTTCTTGGCTATTGCTGGCATTAAGAGGCTTTGGGTCCATGGTTGCCCAAACATGGCTGTAAATGTGGATAAATAAGAAGACTTGCTGGAGGAAGCACCTGCTCCCTGACGGGGGTTATTTCCACCCTCAACACTGGGATATACAGACATCTATTCCGGAGGATAATGCGAGGGGTTTTTCCCTGTTTTTCCCTGTTTACCTCTGAGTGTTATGCCTGCAGCCAGCTGCAAAGACCCGCTTAGAGCGACTCCACACTCTCAGGCTTCCAGATGTTCCAGGAAAAACAAGTGTGCCAGCCTGTCGGTCAGGAGGAGAGTCATTTTAAGCTGTGTGCCAGGACTTCCTGCCTCACACACTACACAGGTGGATGTCAGTTACAAGTGTAACAGAGCACACTTGTCCTTTTCAGTATTTTACTGAACCCCAAGCATGCAGAGCATTCAGACCGATTATTCACAAGAAATACAATCAAAATCAGTTTATACAGGTGCATCTCAATAAATTAGAATGTCGTGGAAAAGTTCATTTATTTCAGTAATTCAACTCAAATTGTGAAACTCGTGTATTAAATAAATTCAATGCATACAGACTGAAGTAGTTTAAGTCTTTGGTTCTTTTAATTGTGATGATTTTGGCTCACATTTAACAAAAACCCACCAATTCACTATCTCAACAAATTAGAATACTTCATAAGACCAATAAAAAAAACATTTTTAGTGAATTGTTGGCCTTCTGGAAAGTATGTTCATTTACTGTACATGTACTCAATACTTGGTAGGGGCTCCTTTTGCTTTAATTACTGCCTCAATTCGGCGTGGCATGGAGATGATCAGTTTGTGGCACTGCTGAGGTGGTATGGAAGCCCAGGTTTCTTTGACAGTGGCCTTCAGCTCATCTGCATTTTTCTCATTTTCCTCTTGACAATACCTTATAGATTCTCTATGGGGTTCAGGTCTGGTGAGTTTGCTGGCCAGTCAAGCACACCAACACCATGGTCATTGAACCAACTTTTGGTGCTTTTAGCAGTGTGGGCAGGTGCCAAATTCTGCTGGAAAATTAAATCAGCATCTCCAAAAGCTGGTCAGCAGAAGAAAGCATGAAGTGCTCCAAAATTTCTAGCTAAACGGGTGCAGTGACGTTGGTTTTCAAAAAA